TGCTAACCCCAAGAAGTGGCAGGAATGCTGAGACTTTCTCTTTCGTCGATCCCCGAGCTTGTGGTCCTCCTTTGAGTGTGGATGAATCTGTCAAGTCAAGGAAAACGTTCCAACGCCTATTCACTCTCTCCCTCTCAAACCATCTTCTTCTTCTTCTTCTCTCAGTTCTTTTGATTCTTTCCGTCATGGAAACCCACCATCGGCTAAAGAAACACCCAATGGCCTTCCCCCGTAGTGCGTTGGCACCGCCGTGTTTACCGGCGCTCTCTTTTTCTCTATCGTTGCTATTTCTCCAAAACCCTAATCGAACCTCCATTCCTCGATGTTCCAACCGCAGGTTTTCTTTCATTGTGGTTCAGCCTTCGGATGGCGATTGGGAGTTGGGGGAGCAACTCGACACAAGAAAAATAAAATACATGGCATAGATGGTCAGGGTTGTTCTCTCCCTTCACTCCGAGTTCACGATGGTGATAATTTATAGTGTTTCTCGGGGGAACAGCTTGCCGCGAGTACAAGTGAGTGTGGATGGATTCCGGATACGGATGAGCCTTTCGATTTAGGTTTGGATTGCAACTTCTCAAGTGAGTTCTACGGGAGGGCACCAACAACATCTCGATGTTCCATTACCTTGTAGGAAAAGGACACCGAGCTTGAAGGCGGTACTCTCTGTGTGAAGGAAAATGATGATATTTAGGTGAATTTACGATTCGTCCCTGATTCTGAAGACGAGCATGATGAAGATGAAATCTCCTTCCCTATTTCAGGTTACCCTGCATTCATGTCGTAATGACGACTTTGGTGATATCTACTCTAACTCTTTATTGTTTGAGTGGATATGTGTTTCTTTTTTCGGTATTAAAGTGTTTGTAAAGTTTTCTGATGGAATCTTTCTATTTTTGGTATGTGCTCGAAAATACAAGCCGTTATTGCTAGATTTGGATAATTGATCAATGTTTTGGGCTTGAAATTCATTCATGTTCTTATATGTATTGTGGTGTGTTGAAAATGTGCTTTGTTATTGGTCAAATTTGTTTATTTGTCACTATTTTGTGCTGGAAATTCAATCATGGTTGTGATGATTTCTATGTGAACAGTTTTAGCATGATTTTTCTTCCAATTTGTGGCATATACTCATAGTAAATATGTTTCAAAAATTCATCTCAAGTTGTTAAGTCTTTCAAGTCCCTTCTCTTGTCATTTTCCAATAAGATATTGCATGCATTCATGAACTAATCTCATAGGACCAATAAGCTGATTTGGGAGGTTTTCAATTTTAAATAAACTGTCTTTTCTCAAATATGGAAGCTTGTAAGTATTGTCTCCCTTAAGTTTATTACTTCAATCATACAACATTGTAAACTTAAGAATACCTTGTTGAGATTTTGTTGTGTCAATTCATTATAGCTTGTTAGGACTGCATCTACAAGCTCATTAACATTCTTGCATCATTTCTCCATTTCTAAACTCTGAATTGCTTAAAACCATCCTAAATCCTTTACATCCATATATGGAGAATTAGTTGGTTGTTGAGTAAGGATAATATTGAAACCATCATATGTTGCTGCATGTAAAAAAAACTTGATCATCCCCCTTTAAATGTGGTTTTGCATTGTCTTACAGGATGAATATAGTTTTTGAAAAATTGACTGGCCACTTTTCTTTGATTGTTAGGATAACCTACCTTAACATTAACCATATTTTTTGTCATTTTAGAAGATGTACATATAGATCAACTGAAATGCAACATTAATTACGAGAAAACATTGGGTCTATACTCTAAATGAGAGAGTGGAAGACATCCACGAACAGTTTTCTTACATTTAATGTATTTTTAGATGTAAATTATAACTAAGCTAATTAATCAAATAACTTTTTATAACATCATTTCTTACAAATTGTATTAGTTTTATTTCTAATGTACCGACCACTCGATTTTTGTTTGACCTCATTGATGAGACCTTCTCAGTGAATGGAAAAATTCTAATTTTTCTATCAAATAGTAATGTCCCATCATTTTCCCATATAGGTCAGGATACTGCGCACATAAACATAATTTTTTAAATGAATTTTTGTTTTTGCATGTATTATGTGGATCCTTTTCCAACAGGATCAAGTAAAATCGATGGCTAGCTTTGGACTAATAGAATCATTTCTCATCAATATGAACTGTATTTGCATACTATGAAATTGTGCATTTTCAATGCACCGAAAAAACATCAAGTGCTTGAAAGGAAAACTTTAACCTTGCATGCTTATTTGCCTCGGTGAGTTCAGGTTTAATAGCACTTGTATGGGCTCTGATTTGTTTTGCTTGAACCCATTATGTACTGTTATTTTTTAGCATTGTATCCCCTTTTCTAGGTTCCTAATCAAAGACTGTTGCAGTACTGATTACCTTTCAATTGCTTCCAAATCAGGTTGATCTTATATTTTCTTACAATATTCATTTTCTTGTGTACACTGACATACTCACCTTTGAACTGTTTCTTTTATGCAGTTTTTTAATGTCTTGTAATAGTCTTCCTAGAGCAATTAATTTCCGTTGCAGCTTTGACAAATGCTCATTTCCTTGGATCTCCGGCGTCATCATATTTTTCCAATAGGAATTCTAATAGCCTATTATGCTATATTTTTGTAAGGTGTGTTTTAACCTTTTTTTTGTGTGTATGTGTGTGTAGAGGTTTGGGTAGACCTTGATTTTAAATGATCTGCTTTGTAGAGGAAAGTCTGGTTGTTTATTTATGGGAGTGAAAAACTAATGATTTTGTGAATTTAGTTAGAGGAAAAGTATGTTGTAAGTGTCTGAATGTTTTTAGAGAAGTTTGTGTTTGATTTTGGTTTATTATGTCTGATTGCTCGTATATATATATATATATAAAATGGTGATGTGTGAATTTTAGTTGGAGGAAAATTTGGCATGGGCGTAGGGAAATTTTGAGGGGAAAACACTTTTGGGAAAGAAAATTGGTGGAAAAAAGTCAATGTGATTTGATGATGTGATATTTTGTCTTTATTTATTCTTGTAATTACTTTTTTTAATTATGCAATTAAAATATCCATTTATATTTACTAATTATATCCCTTATAAAATTCTGTATCTATAGTAATATAGATAATTTTTATGTGATGGATGGAGTAATACACTACCGAAAAGGCCATTTGGTGCGGAAAAAACCGCACCAAATCCGTATCATTTATGCTTACATAGCGGGGCCGTTGTCACGGTTTGAATTCGCAGCCGAATAACGGTGCCAAATGAATTGATCGAGATTCATGAGGACCTACTGTAGACAGAATAGACATTCCATGAGGGGGAGTTGAGAAAAATGATATTGGATATCTAAATGTTATCCGAGAACATTATTCCAATGAGGTAAGACCATCAACACATCACCCTGCCCATTAACTGTGCCATTTTCACCTAAACAAAAACCAAAGACAAATTCCCAGACCTAGTTAGCTACAACAGTGGTCATTCATTCATTCACATTGATTATTCAAAACTGACTTGAATACCTAAAATTGTTACCCCATTCTTTGATAATAACAGACAAATAGAGGAAACAATCCTGTTGAACACTTCTGATGGGTCAAGTGATGCATTCTAAAAATTACCAAAACTTGAAATACGATCCTACATTCGTATTGTTCTTTTAATAAATCGAAAAGGAATTTCTCACTTACACTTCTTAAAATATAAATAACATCCTCAAGTGCAGACAAAACACTATAACATGATTCAATGTCAAGTCCAAAACTAGAGTTTGATGCCCTCTGCAATGAAAGAGAGATACTGAAAAATAAATCAAGAATCTGCACGTACAAGGTAATGTCAACACGAAGATCTATATTAATAAGCATAAAACAATATATAAAGTATATGATAAATTTTGCTCATATTAAAACAGACAATGGAAAAAGAACATCAAATTAAGGAGATTAAGGAATAATATTAATTACAGATTTGTGGAGAAGTTTTTCTAACTTCATGGTTTGTATCTGCACAATGCGGAAGATATACCATGACCATTTCCCCTAAAAATAATGCATCGCGACTTGGAGATACAAATGCAGCTGAAGTAGGGACAAAATAATCATAAAATGAAATATTTGAATTTTTTAAAGCAATGCAAGATGGGAAGGCCCAATGGAAAGGGGAAGGAACACTAACTAACATGGTAAATTGGAAAACTTGCTTGTACGGTCGAGTTGTTTATTGTGAGTGTACCTTTCCTCATCCAAGTGAACAGAATCCACTAATACACATTGTATGAAATTTCTGAATCAAATCATAAGCAGAAAGACAACCTATGTTTCTCTGATACTCGATAGAGAAAGAAATATTGGATCTATCTGTCTCAGGATATGCAATAGTTGTTCTGCTCGACTTCTTCCATCTTCTCTACTGAATAAAAATATATAATGTCACATGACACTATTATAAGCTTAACCTGTACATAATAACTAGAATCTCCAAAATTTTATCATCCATCTAATCACTTCTTTTTCTTTTTCATTTTCTTTATTTTCGAATTAGTAACAGTTTTATCACAATGCTGCTACAATACCACATTGCTTATCTACTTTCAAACATGCAACACCAACAGCTTACATAGATAAATACATGGCAATGAATTTCAGCTAATTTTAAAACTTAATTAAGGGCAATTAGGAAGACTTCAACAAATTACATATGAGAAATTTTGGGATCAATGATGGGCTATCCAATATAATAAAATGAACGAGAACACTTGAATTGGCAATTGAGATCTGTTGCAATCAAATATGGGCAAATGAAATTTTAATATAAAAAAAGTTTATCAGGAACACTTCAGCAGATTACATATGAGAATTTGTAGAATCGTTTTATCAAATCAAAGCCACAATGTAGTAAGTCATAGATAGGACCATCTTTTTTCTTAAGGTTGCATTTTCTGAAATATAAATTTCTAAAACACCAACATAACTTGGTTCACTCAAAATTGGTATATAAGATACAATATCAAATGTACAAAAATGAGTTAAAAAGTGGGTTAAAGAAATAAACACTTAACTTAAGCGTTGGCTTACAACAATGTTATTGAGATGAATTCTCCAACCATCTTTCAATATTCCTACAAAAATTAAATAGCATAAGATCATTTATACTTTGTTGATCAATTAATCAATGATTAAATTTGCAAGCAATTGTCTCGTAAATTTGAAATAAAAAATACCTTTATTGCTTCCTAATCTGAATGTTGATCTTCGGATAATGCTTCCTAATCTGTGTCAACTAATCTCAACCTTTCATTTCTATCAATTCACTCAAGCAAATCACAAATATTTTCTAATTGAAAAATTATTTAATCACATGTCACTTTTACAACACATTGAGGCATAGTACGTACCACAACTTTCCAAAAAGACCGTTCATTTGTTGCACTTGGATAATCCATATAAAAAATTTGTTTTGCTTGTTGTGCAAGAATATAATGCTATTTTGTACGCAATAAAAATCTGAAATTAACATCCACAAGATGATAAGCACGATGTTTCCGCACGCCACATGTTGGATCCGCCCAACGACACCTAAACAATACAATCTTCATATTCGGGTGAAGATCGTCAGATAACTCCATAATACATTCAATGATTCCAAAATATTCAAGACTCTCTCCTAACTCATATTTACTGATGACACACCAAATTCTTTTGAATTACATCCAACTCCATGTTTATACGTGTTGAATGTCCTTTTTTTGTAGAATAACATTGATCAAAGTGTATGTTTGTCTGTTCTTGTTTCGTTTCGCATTTCTTACTTAGTACATGTAGTGGTCTGGCTTGTACGGACCCCTCCACCCACAAGCTTTATCTCGCTTTCACTCAAATTGCTTCTAGGTTTAGAGATGCACTTCTCAAATCACTTCCATCGCACAATATATTGGCACATCAAAGTTTTAAATAAAATATATGTTTAGTTTTTATATTTTTAAAAGGAAGAATTTTGATGAATAGGGCCAAAACAAAATTGAAAACACAAGTAAACCGAGCCTGGAAAAACATCCAATCTAAGCTACAACACATTTGACAATAAACAATAGGGTAGAGAGACAATACCATTTTGAGAAGTTTAGATTTTGGATAATTTGCAAGGATTAATAATAATATGGATCAAATTGAAAATAGTTTAGCAACAACATATCACTTGTGAATAGCAAATATTGTCATTACTCTTACCTTCTTATTTTTTCGATTGGCAGTTTTGGTGGTTTCGCAAGCAAGCTATCGCTTTTTGTAAAACTCAACTTTGTACTCCTCAACTTCTGCTACAATTTGTTCCAACAACTCTTTTTCTCTCTTCTCCTTATCCTCAAGTCTAATTGCATTTTTCTGCAATCGATTGCCATATGAGCATCAAATTATTAAAGGGTACCAAAAAGACATTTTATATTGTAGATATATATACAAAACAAGCACTTGCATAACAAATAAACACCCTAAAGAAATTGTTTGGAAATAAAACAAAGGCATTTGCATTATGGCCCGGAAACATAATTTCATTGTCAAAATTCCTAAGAAAATACCGAATAAGACTGCCAGTGTCTGAATTGTAACTACCCAGAAAAATCACTCGAGAAAGAAATCACTAGTAAAATTGATTAATTATTCGCACAATATACAAAAAAAACACCCACGGTAAGATTTATGAAATATACCAAATCGAAGAACAAAATAGCTAGCATAAGTAATAGATTTAGGAAATACTTACATGCTTACTAAATAAATCGAAGGAGTATGATTAGGGCGAAATTGTACTCTTTCTCACTCCAAAACCTCCTCCTCTTCAGCTCACCGACAACACAGTGAATCTTGCTCATCCATGGATCGCACAAATCTTGCTCGTTCACGGGGCCGTGGAAATTATTTGACAGAGGGTTAGCGGAAGGCAGGCGATGTATTGGCCTGCGTGTTTCACCGGCGGCGGCACAACAGGAGAAGACGAGGAAGAAGAAGAATGAAAAACATGAGGGAGGAGAAGAAGAATGCAAAGAAAGCAACGTGTGATGACTGTTATATCTTAATTTTAATTTTAGGGCAAAACTAAGTAGTACTTTACAATAATAATAAATAATTTAATTATAATAAAAATTATTATGTATTTATAAAAATAAAATTAATATGGAGTACTAATATTAAAAGGTAATAAATAATTATTACTAATATAATAAAATAATAATATTTTATATATTTCAATGATAGATACAGATGGTAAATGGTGGCAAGTACAATTTTTTTAAAAAAAAACAATAGGCGCTACATTTAGCACCTTCAATTTTTTTAAAAGAAAAATTAAATAAGATGTGTAAAACGGTGCCAAAATAAGATGCGTAAAACGGTGTCTTATCATAAAATATTATTTATTTTTTAAATAAAATATAATAAGGCGCGATATTTTGGGCCAATTTTTTTATTATTAGTTTGGCGCGAACTTTGGTAACTATCTATTTCGCGCCACACCGTATCTCATTATTCATGATATTTGCTTTTTTTTTTTTTTTTTCAGTGATAGAAAGAGAATAATAAAAAGATAATGAGAAGAGAGTGAGTGAGAGAGAGAGGATAGAGTGAATTGAGTGTGCAAAAATTTCGGGTTTATTTATTTTATATGTTTGTGTTGATGTATTTTTTATTTGGAGTATGGAAAACTATATTGATAATATAAAAAATATTAATTTTTTGTCAATTTGTGATTGGAGAAAATATATATATTATATTATGTTAGTATAATTATATTTAATATGGAGAATTATTCCAACAACAACAACAACACATCCATCTACATATATGCACATCTCTATGAACGTACACATCTACATACACTTTGTATATAATACTCTCCCTTGGATATTTTTACGCAAAAAGTATTTTGTTAAAATCTTATTAGAGAAAAATTCCAATGAAAAAAGAATAATACATCATTATTACTCTAATTTTTTCCACCTCATTTGGATTTTACTTATAATCTCTAAGCCGACACGTTTCAATTCATTTAATTAATTTGTTGAATGTTGTTGTTGATAGAGTCTTATTAATAAATATACAAAATTATCAAATGGTCGAATTTGTTACACATTAATTTCATCGTTCTTTTGAAAATCATGTGTAAAGAAGAATTTTGGTAAGATATCTCATTTGATATATTCACTTTTTAATTAAACAATGAAACATGCATTATCTTCATATATAATTATTGGGTAATCTTTATATTTCATATATTAATCCACAATTATCTTTTATATGATGGGTCACTGACCTCAATCAAACACATTTTTGACTGGCTTCATAAATAGCCAATATCTCGGCATGATTTCATGATGTGGCAGTTATATTTTGTTTGGTGTATCTCCAAGATATCACAATATCACCATATGTAAATATATAGCCGGTTTGAAATTTAGCTTAATACAGGTCAAATACATATTCAAAATCGGCATAGCTTAATAATTCGTGTCGAAATTATTCTGATAAAATAGGCCAAGATCACTTGTCCCTTTGAGATAGCGTGGAATATGTTTAACTTCATTCCAATGTTGTTTAATAGAATATTAACTAAATCGGGCTAATAAATTTTACTACAAATGCAAGATTTGACCTTGTGCTATTCGCTAAGTACATAATTGCACATATTACATGGAGATATGGTACTTCATGACCAAATATCTCTTCTATCATTTTTTTTTTTTTTGTCTAAATGGATCCTTGTTATGCTAAAACGACATAATGAGCATTTGGGTACTTAACTAACTTGTATTATCTATATAAAATCACTTTAATATTTTATAACTATAAGCGTTTTGGTGGATAAATATTAGATTTTTCACATATTCAATTTACAGACCATAATAGAACTTTGTCTTTCCAAAGTATTTGAACTCAAATTTATTTTTCAAATATTCCACGGCTGATTAGAGCTCTTCAAAAGTTCTAATAATATTATGATCCTCAACATATATTATAATGATTAAAAATTTTGATCCATTGGTAGCCTTTGAAGCTTCCATTAAAATTCTTCAACAAACATTGTTGCGTAGTAAGCAGTGCTGATCGAGGTCGAATCCACAGGGACTGTGTAAAATATTTTCTATTTTGTCACAATTAAATGTAAGGGGTAGATATTAAACTTATTAATTCAAATAAAATAAAAAAAAGAAGTTAAAATTAGATTTCAAGTGCTGATTAAACATCTAGTCCATGGAATAAATAAGAAATTGGATAAAAAGACCCGATCAATGATTTGAAATAATATTATTATTCAATTGATAAATTACTTATAGGCATTAAACACGATCATAACATCCAATTTTTATTTACCACATTGGCGGCAATGGTACGGCTAACTAACCACGCCCCTAATCGAAAAGATAAACTAGCTCCGATCGTAGAATAATTTTCCGAACCGAAAATAGCGTCAGAAAACTCAATTCAAATATTCAATCGATTACAGAAAGATTAAAATATTTGATTATGTAATTTCTAGACCAAGCTTGTCAACCTATTTACCGAATAAATACATAATTATGGATGCAAATATTTTGTTCGCACTCAATTCTTAAATCAATATAAGATTCAATCATGATAAAAATAAATTATATAAAACAATCATAGACATGAATCACCGAAAGTGCACAAATACCAATTTACTAACAAGATTTAATTCAAATCAAAATCTCATCTAAAAAATCCAAATTCCGAATCTAATTTTAACCTCATACTAGAACTAGAATATTAGCTACTCATAATTAAAATAAACAAAAACGATCAAATTATGATGATGGTGATCTTCTTGTGTCTCTTTTTCTCCAATCGTCTCCCTCAATCCTTCAACTCAAGGTGTGAATTGTGGTATGATGATGATCCCTTCAATGCCTTGATCCCTTTTTATAGACGATCAAATCCTCAATCAATGGTTTAATTGCTCATTCAAGAATTAAATTTTTTATTTTCATGTCATTGATTAAATTTCAATCTCCATAAATCCTCATCTTTAATGGCTTTCCTTTTAGGTGCATCTATTTGAGAACCTTTTGGTATTTCTCCAATTGGCAACAACCGTGATATTTTTAGATGATATCCTGTGATTGGTGCCTACTCAATGAAGGCCCATAGAGGTATACAGAGGATGATTTGTCGAATAGGATTTTTTTTCAAGAAGATTTCAAAAGTGCTACCCTTTTCTTCTTACCAAAATACCCTGAGTATTGAAAAATAAAGAACAATGTGAGAGAATACATTCTACATAGTTTCTTAGGATAAAAAAAAAAAAAAAAGAAAAAGATAAAAGTGAATTTATGTTATTTTTTAAATATATAAGGTGTGAATTCCTAATTGTTAGTTTTTTAGTGCATGGATAAATCTTCAATTGAATTTAATAGCCTGCAAATTAGAACAAAAAAAAATATTAGATTAGACGAACCATTTATAACAAGATCCGAAAGCATAAGCGATTTAAACTCATGAATTTGTGTTAATTTTTTCCTTCCCAAAAGACATCATTCACTAGCCCATTTATTTGTTTTTGTAACGTTCTCACATAAATTCTCACTTCATTAAACATAGAACACATATTACAAAATCCTCTAATCCTAGTAGGCCACATTCCAAAGGCCCAATGGCCTATCTCCCAAATAATAGTAATAATAATCATTTTTGGTAGGCCCATTATTCCTGTCCCCACCTTCTTTTTTCTTTTTTTTTTTTTATTATAGAAATTTAAAAGAATAATATTTTAATATTAAAGAGAAATAAATAAAAAATAAAGTGATAATATTATAAAAAAATTATTAAAATTTTGATAAAAAAAAAGTGATGAGAACTATAAAAAATAGTGACAAATTAATTATTATTTTTTATAATCAAAATAGTAAGTAAATAAAAAATTTTATTAAAATAAATTGACAGTTAATTATTATTTGTTAAAGTAAAATTAATAAAATTATGAATAAATAAAATTATTTACTATAAACTGATTGCACATAAATATAAAAAAGCAAAGAGGCCTTATATAATTATAGTATACATTTATAGTCATTTTTATCATAAATAAGTATATGATATATTTTTAGAAGGGTTTGTTTAGTCTTTGTTTGAAATTGAAATTTTGATTTAAATTTTAGTTCAAAAGAAAATATTCTTTTTGAAATTTTTTTTGGTAGTTTTTTTTACTTTTCTGTCTACACAAAATTTTAATAAAATTATTCCGAAACAGATGATCCATTTATTTCGGGTATTTTTATTTAGCTATTTTCTATTAGTAAGTTAGTAATAATAATTTATGATATTATTTTATTATTTTTTATATAATTAGTGTTGTTGGTACTTTAAAAATATGAATTAATATATATGATTAAAAAAAAATTAGAATATATACTTAAATATCTTAGCATTATATCTCAATAAAATATATATAATATATGAATATTATCTTATAAATAATAAAATTTATGTAATACAAATAAAAAAAAATGTATATATTTATTTATTTAATTATAATTAATATTACACTAGTTTTATAAAAAATAATAAAAATAAAAATTTTAAATATAAATAAAAATAAAGAGTGTCGTAAGTAAATCTTATATATAAAAGGTTAAAATTTAAGAATAAATATATTAAAAATAGATAAATGTCATATATTATAAGATTGAGAACAAAAAAAATAAAAAAAAAATCTTCTAAGATTTTTTTTTTACTTTTACTGTTTATATATTTATATTTTTATTTGTTCAATTCAAATGTTTACATTTTTTTAATAATTGTGGATATTATTATTAATTACTAATATATTTTTTTTATACCTGTTTATCATCCTACACTTATTTTATTATATATTTTTATTTAAAAATAAAAATAATTTAATTTTCAACTATTATATTTTTCCAATATTATAAAAATATTAAGATTTTCGTAAAAACAAATCTAAATATTAGAG